ATGAAATACAAACAAAAAAAAAATAATAATTACAAACAATTTTGTATTAATTTTGCTTTGCTTAGTCTTGATATTTCGCATGCTCATCTATCTGATAACAACTACAGTAAAAAATGAAGAAGTCGGTTAGTTATTACTTCGATTTGTCGACATCAGCTTAGATTTAAATATCCAACTCTCAAGTGTAGATACCTTATCTACGTTGGGCGCTATTTAACATCTTCAAACATTTATACATATTTTGGCGACATTATAAATTTCCAATCGTTTATTCTAGTTTTTTTATTGCTGGACCCAAAATATATATATAGCAAACTGCCGTGTCATTATCTGTAATCTAATCATAAAAAATCATAAAACACTTCTAACAATCAACTATATATTTTAATATGAAACTTTGCTATAGATAATCGGTATATTTAAACGAATCTACATATAAACATACATATGCCGATATTCTCATACAAAGTATGGAGATTTTAAATTGCATTTCGAGAAAAAAATAAACCTGCTTAGGTATGATCACAAGTTGTTCTCATTGTAGAAATGGGTGACCATTGAACTCATGGAATGATTTGTGTTAACAGCTTGCTGCTTGCGGCTTGAACAAAAAATAAAACATATGGATGAAATTAATATTTTCATATTAGCACAAGTTTTTAGTCAGAAACGCAGGGAGCTTTTTCACGTGGAAAATTTAGGGGTATCTAGCGAAGTTGAAAGCGTCAATATTGATCATGTAGATAATCAAGACGTTCCATCGTTTCCACGCAGAAGTGAAAGAATTGCTGCTAAGAAAACAGCGCTAACAGTTAAACAGGAAATTGAAGATGAACCGCTATGCCTAGATGATGTTATGAAAAGTTGTGAAAAACTAAAATTGATTAAAGCAATGAAGAGCGAAATCAAATCACTTGAAGATAACGAAACATGGTCTCTGGTAGAGAAGCCGCCTGGGGTGAATGTTATTAAAACCAAATGGGTATTCAAAAAAAAAGATGATGAAATAAAGGGCATGTTTGACATACCGTATTAACAAGCATATGGAAGTCTACTTTTCGCATCGCAATGCACTAGACCAGATATATGCCAATCAGTAAATAAGTTAAGTACTTTTAACAATTGTGCAGGAAAAGCTCATTGGTGTGCTGTGAAGCGGATTTTCAGATATTTAAAGGGAACAAAGGATGCCAAATTGAAATTTTCTAAGAATGGTAATAACGATTTAATTGCATATTCTGATTCTGACTGGGCAAATGATTCCGATGAAAGGAGGTCAGTAACGGGATATGTGAAAATACTTCAAGGCGGATCTGTATCTTGGGCTTCAAAACATTAACCAACAGTCGCATTATCATCAACAGAAGCCGAATACATGGCACTTTCCGCTGCAGTACATGAAATTGTATGGCTCAGAAGTCTCGAAATATATTTCGACAATCAAAGTGCAATGCATTTAGCATCAACTAACAAATATTTGGCAAGATCGAAAGATATTGACGTCCGTCATCATTTTATAAGGGAAAAGAGGGAGTCAAATATTGTAGAATTTTTTGGCGTCAAAACTCAAGATATGGTAGCAGATAATTTAACGAAAGCAGTTCCTACTGATAAACATAATTTTTGTTCAATTCAAATGGGACTACAGTTTATGTAATTTGTTTTTTTGTTTGAGTGGGGGTATTGAAATATACTGTATGTAAAAATACCTGTGCAAACAAAACCATGTAGACCCTATGAATTGAATTTTTCTATACCTTGAAACCTATGCCAATAAATATAATTTTTCATTCACTTTCAAATCGTTCCACTGAAAAGACGTGTTTAATTTTTGCTCTGCTAAAAACTTCCTAAAGAGTACCCCGCGAAAGTATTGATATTAACATTTGATAATCCAGATCGAATTCGCATATTCTGTTTAATTTGCAACCTCACTTATCAGCAGATGATTGAATTTTGCTCATCATCACTATATTTCAGATTACTTCTAAATCTTGGATTTGGTTGGTGAGCTCCTTCGCAACATGATCCAGTTGGCGGAGGGGTTATCATTCCGCGTCATTGTTCGGTCATACAGAGCACATTCTACACGTGACTAATACGATGACAGTATTTTTCTTCACGTCAGATTTGTTTATAGGTCGCAATTGAATACATTTCGATGCCATATAAAACTCTAGGTAATATCAGTGGCTTTATATTGAGTGAATGAATCTCGTTTGGTGAAAGGTCACTGTTTTTCGAACTGCTTGTTCAGTCCAAAGTTGCATCGAATGGCATTTTATTATTATAATCTCCACCACACGGTGAAGTGTATATAAAATATATAATTCCGTTTGATATGCCTCAAAATATTCGACCGAGTCTCTGGACTCGGATATTCATGAGTAGAATATATGTATCTCTACTATAGTTGGGCAACGAAGTGGTATTAGTTCGATTCACAGGAGAAACTAGATTATACATTTAGTTCCATAGTTCATGTGAGTTCAATCGTTCGGAACGATCTAGATGAAGGATTGGAACAAAAATTACTAAATGAAAGATCAACGAAAGAACCGAACCTAGTACCGATCTTTCATTTGCCTGAATAGTTTCTTTGAACTAGTTATTTCCGGAGCAACCCAAATCTAATGTCTACTACTCCCCGGATATTTGGTATAAGTTTTGTTATAGCTATGAACTTTAAATTTTTCAAACCGAAGAAGCTATAATTTGGCATTCCGAATTCTTTGATAATACAGAAAATTGTCAATATAGCTCCATAAAGGCATGTAGTTCTCCCCTAGATTTCTGTATTTCGAAGGGTTTAGCAGCAAATTCGAACCGAAGAGGGTTGTAATTTTGCATTTCGGATTTTTGAAGATTTCTGTATTTCGATGGGTTTAGCGGCAAATTCGAACCGAAGAGGGTTCTAATTTTGCATTTCGGATTTTTGAAGTGATGGGCCATGTCGCATTTTCGTCGTTTTGAACATTATAGCCGCCATTTTCAATTGAAGAGACTGTTGTTTCGGTTTCCAGGTTCCTAGAAGGTTCAACAACCACTTCGCACGAATCTAAAACATGGGTAATTTGTTGGACATAAGTCAATATAACGACATAGGGTAATATACCGGCTCTCTAACGCCCCGGCATATAAATGAAAATACATCGCATGGTGTATATAAAACATTCGGCATAACTTGACCGCGGCTTATTTTATCTGTGGTAGTGGCAAGATACAAAAGACAAAAGGTATTCTATAGAAGACCTGCAGAAGATCTGAAGGTCTTTTTCTGTTGATGACTAAAAAGTATTCATCCATAGAAGATCAGAAGGTCTTCTTCCATAGAAAACAGGAAGGCTTCTTCCATAAAAGACAGCAAGTCTTCTTTAAAATTGACCGGAAAGTATTCTTTTATAGAGGTCCAGAAGGTCTTCCCCCATAGAAAACCAGAAAGTCTTCTATAGATGAACAGAAATCTTCCTCCATAGAAGACGGGAAAGTTTTCTTTTATATAAGACTGGAATGTTTCCTTCCTTAAAAGGCCAAGCGGTCTTCCATAAAAAACCAGAAGGATTTCTTCCACAGAAGACTAGAAAGTCTTCTTCATCAATAGAAAACCAGAAAATCTTTTTCAATAGAAGACAGGAAGGTATTCTTCAATAGAAGACCAGAAGGTCTTCTTCTATAGAAGACCAGAAGGTCTTCTTCAATAGAAGACCAGAAGGTCTTCTTCTATAGAAGACCAGAAGGTCTTCTTCTATAGATGATCTGAAGATATTTTTCCATAGAAAATGAGAATGTGAAGAAGACCAGAAGATCGTCATCCGTAGGTAAGTAGAAGGTCCTCTAATATCGATGAAGAAGACCAGAAGGTCTTCTTCAATAGAAGACCAGTAGGTCTTCTTCAATAGAAGACCAGAAGGTCTTCTTCTATAGAAGTCCAGAATGTATTCTTCAATAGAAGACCAGAAGGTCTTCTTCAATAGAAGACCAGAAGGTCTTCTTCAATAGAAAACCAGAAGGTCTTCTTCAATAGAAGACCAGAAGGTCATCTTCATTAGAAGACCAAAATGTCTTCTTTCATAGAAGACCAGGAGGTCTTCTTTCATAGAAGACAAGAAGGGCGTCTTTCATAGAAGACAAGAAGGGCGTCTTTCATAGAAGACAAGAAGGGCGTCTTTCATAGAAGGCAAGAAGGTCTTTTCCCATAGAAGATCAACAGGCCTTTCATAGAAGACCTGAAGGTCATCTTCCATATAACACCAGAAGGTTGTCTTCCATAGAAGATCAGATGATCCTTTCCATTGAAGACCTGAAGGTCTTCTTCTATAGATAATCAGAAGGTCCTCTAATGTAGATGAACAGAATTTCTTCTTCCGATCTTCGTCTTACATAAAATATCATAAGATCGTCTTCTATAGAAGATCAGAATATCTTTCATAGAAGACCAGAAGGCCTTCTTCTATAGATAATCAGAAGGTCCTCTACTGTAGATGAGCACAATTTATTCTTCCAGAGAAGATTAGGTCTTCTACAACAGGGTATCTTCTATAAAAGAAGATCAGTGTGGCATCTCGCTTCTCGAAGACCATAGGGTCTTATCCAATATAAGACAATACGGGATTTTTCATAGAACGCTAGGAGCTCTTCTTCCATAGAAGAATAGTCTTATTTTTGCTAAATAACGACCTTCTGTCATAGAATACGTAAAGACCTTCTTATATAATAGAGAATATGTATTCACTGATCCAGAAGGCGATGGACTTTTTTAACAGAAGACCTGTCGTTATTTCTTCATAGAAAATGTGATGTTCTTTTTTCATGAAGACCCGGTATTGCTTATTTAATAACCTTTCAACTATTCGCCTTTTCTTCGTTTTTTATCCTTTTTAAGTAAAATATACAAATCACCCGAACTTTATTCTTAATTTCCAATTATTTATTTTAATTTCCTTCTTTATTTCTTCCTTTTTTCAGTTAAATCCTAATTTTTCCAATCAGACCTGATCAAAATGACAGTTCAAAGTAAAATGGTGTCACTTTGTACCTGCCAGGAATTTCAACATTGCTGGACAGATAAATGTGTAAATGCCGTGTCTGGTCTGATATTGGCCGCAACACCATATTGCCTTAGAGTTTATACCATGGTTTATGTGGTAAGTAAAATATCCGCTTCCCTAGCGCCCCAAACACCTCCATATTCCAAATAATTCGCATTTTTATAGGTCTCCTTAGTTATGCGTGGTAAAATTCCCACTTTAGATGATTTAAAGAAAACAGTACGAGGCATTCTGCAGTCCACAGCATTTTTGGTTACCAACGCATACGGTTTTATTATGTACAATTGTCTACTGCGTAACCTTATGGGCTATTACACCAAAGCCAGTGTTGCATTTCTACCCTGTTTCTTGGCCAGTTTAATGGCTATTGTTGTAGAGAGACCCCAAAGGAGACCTATGTTGGCTTTGTATGTTGCCAACGTTGCCACAGAGACTCTTTGGAATATGGCTGAAGTACGTGGTTGGGTAAAATCCATACCAAATGGTCAGGTTTTACTGTTCGGTGCCAGTGTTTCAGTATTATTGTATTTGTATAAATTGGGTCTACACAAAACCACATGTAAAGATTCCCTCTTTGGTTTGTTGAAAATCTTCGTGGGCAAGTCGGAGGAAGGTCCAGCGACGAAGGTGGTGGAGAGTTTAGAAGGTAATTCGCAATCATTGCCTACGAACAGACAACAAAGATCTCGTCCCCGCATCAACTTTGCCACCATCAACGGTTGGGTCCAGGCCTATTCACGTTTCATTGAGGCACTCAAGGGAAAACATGAAACCTGTAATCACAAAGAAAGTTGTGTCCATTATTCGATAATGGGTGGCCTTAAACCTCTAGTTGGTGGTATTGGTGTCCAGGTGGCCTTAAAATTGCTGCTGAATATCAGAAAGGTTGTGCAAAATAAATTGGACTGGAAGAAAACGGTGTTCAATAAGAAAACAATGAATTTGGGTCTATTTTTGGGTGCTTTCTCATTCCTATTTAAGGTAAGTGAGTAAGGGGGGATGAGAAATTTCGGAATTCATATTTTATAATCAATTTTATATTGTTTTACTATTTTTAGTCTGTTTCCTGTGGCCTTAGACACGGTTTTGATCGTGACGATCCCAGATTTGCCATACCAGCTGGTCTAATTGCCAGCACAAGCTTCCTCTACTATCCCGATAAAACAGTAGCTTTATATGTTATGTGGAAAACATTACAGGTGAGTTGTATAAAATTATTTTAATATTCTCGTAATTGATTGCGGCAGAAAGTATAGAAATTAAGGTATTCTCATGAAAACAAGAAAATCTTTCCGAAAAAATAAATAGGTCTTCCCACGGGGAGGACTTTCGGAACGGACACCAAAACGTTTTCTAAAGAATGTCATATGTTATTTCAAAGAAAAGCAAACAGTCTTCCAAAGTATGTTTTGTAGAAGGTCTGCCAAAGAAGATCAGAAGCTCTTCCAAAGTAGGTCTTGCAGAAGGTCTGCCAAGAAGACTAGAAGGTCCTCTAAATAAGACCAGAAAGAAATTCAAAAATGACAAGAAGGTATTCCAAGGAACACCGGAAGGCTGTGATATGTAGTATATGTATACGAAATTCAAAAATGACAAGAAGGTATTCCAAGGAACACCGGAAGGCCGTGATATGTAGTATAAGTATACGATATAAGAGAGGAAATGTACGAGGAACCTAAAATTGATGAGCAAATGGTGCGTGATGCATTAAAGAACTTTTCACCATTTAAATCAGTTGGGCCAGACAACGTCTTCCCAGCTTTATTAAAAGGGTCGGACTATATATCACCATATTAAGCAGCACTATTTAAATCGTGTATACGGTTTGCACACACTCCGAAAGCCAGGGTAGTCTTCATACACAACATTCCCACGGCGGCTGGTTCTATGTAAGGGATTGACTCTGTAATGGACTCCGACCAGAGGCTGCCACCTCAACAAATACATGTTCGTGTGCGACTTTTTTGCATGGGATCGGCATTATATTCCAGAATACCAGGACCCTGGTTCTGTAGTGTTTGCCGGAAACGCATCAATCACAGATCCATCTCGGTGAGATGCAATGGTTGTAGAGAATGGGTGCATTTTAGAGGTTGCTCTAGACAGAACCGAATCCAGGAGTACTGCGAAAGGAGTTATGTCGCTTCATGCTGCGCTAGCACGTCTCCCAGTGTGTCTCGGTAGTCGTCGTTCCATCCGTCCTTCGATTAGTCGTCGTCGGAATACGAGACAAGCCCGCAGTCTCCTCAACAGCAAAACACGCAGCACTTAACACCGCATATTGCTGGTTCGCGCCTAGAGAATGCATCGTTCTTGCAGTTCAACTGCGATGATCTTCGCAACAAGATCAGCGAAATTGTGGAGTTTATGAGTCGAAGAAGAATAATGGTCGGTGCGATCCAGGAAACTATGCTGACCGAGAACTGCAGCTTACAACTTTGCGATGGTTACAACGTTGTGCGGAAGGATCATACCAGAAGCGGAGGTGGGGGACTAGCATACATATCTATCTCCCTTGTACTAGACTCTATTGGGGGGTAGCAGTCAAGTGTGGAACTGACGAGTTAGAGATGCTAAATGTTTATATAGCAGTACACTGCGTTATTTATCGGATATCAGTCCAGTAATAGAAGATTATAACAGCCTGATATTAGGGAATTTGAATGCCCACCATGAGTTGTAGCATTCCGTCCTAGGTACTGATCAGAGGTGTACAGCGCTGAGCAAATTGATAGCTCAAAATTCTTAACGGTTAAGGAGGATGCCCACACGAGGATAAGAGGAGATTGCCACAGTTCGCCAGACATTACCATTGTGGCACCTAATCTGATAAATTACGTAACCTGGCCACCCGTAATTTCACTTGGCTCACACCACCTTCCTATTGTCGTCTCTGCACCTTCCTGGACCATGGGAAAGCTGATTGGCCTAGTTTCAGAGAGTTTACCAATCCCGCTTCATACCTGCTGGACGAATATCCGAAGTAAGACCAAACTTCGCAGCAGAGGCAACGGTATTGGGTAATGAGCGTGATGTACACCGTGTTATAACAGTCGGCTTTTAGAAGGTTATAACCGCCTGGTATTAGGGAATTTCAATTCCCACCATGAGTTGTGGCATTCCGTCCTAGGTAATAACCAGAGAGGTACAGCGCTGACCAAGCAAATTGATAGCTCAACATTCAGCACGGTTAATGAGGATGCCCCCACAAGGATAAGAGGAGATTGCCGCAGTTCGCCCGACATTACCATTGTGGCACCTAATCTGATAAATTACGTAACCTGGCAACCCGTAATCTCACTTAGCTCACACCATCCTCCTATAATTGTTTCTGTGCCTTCTTGGACCATGGGAAAGCTGATTGGCCTGGTTTCAGAGTTTTTACCAATCCCGCTTCAGAATGCTGCCCATTCCCTCAGATCTTAGGGTAGCTGAGAGAAATTTCCGAAAAATCATTGCTACTGCTGGCGCTCGCTTCATACCTGCTCGTCGAATACCCGAAGTAAGACCAAACTGATCGAGATGAGCTCCACCGTACGACCCCTGAAGACCCAAGGGTGCGAGAACTCACCCTTGAAGTCAGTAGACTAGTATGCGAGCTCAAAAGGAAAAATTTGCCCGAAACAAGTAAATTGTGGGCAACGCTTAAGACACTCTCGAATCCTGGAAGGAATGATGACAGGGCGGATGTCACATTTAACGACGTAAATGTAACAGAACCGGAAATTCATTGAGAACCCCGAGAGTGACAAGGCGAAAAGGAGTGTACCAACACAATTTACTAAGAAGGACGTTGTAGATGTCATCCAAAACGCTGAGTCATCCAAAGCGTTGGGACCGGACGGAATATCCATGATAATGCAGAAGCAGCTGGATAAACCCGGAGTTGAGTATTTAACATCAGCCCTGGAAAATGGGCAGGGTAGTCCGGCTACTGATGCCTGATAAGGATGCCTGCAGGGGTGAATCGTACAGACCGATTTCACTCATGTCTCCAGTAGCAAAGACACTTGAAACGCTATTTCTCCCATCGTTGACAAGCAGTTTCCCAGTTGACCAACATCAGCATGGATTCCGTAAGATCCACAGCACAACACAACATTACAAGCCATTTCCACACATATCATCAGAAGATTTAACCAGAACAGGCCGTGTAACCGAACAGTTATGGTGGTACTTGATCTGTCGAAGGCCTTCCAACCATACCAAGCTGTTTCGAGGATATAGAGAAGACAAATCTCCGAAACAGAAAGTATAAACCCCGTAGAGTGAAACAAGGAGTTCCACAAGAAGGGATCATTTCTCCCGAACTGTTTAACCTCCACAATTCTGATATTCCACAACCATCGGGCGGTATAGAGATCGTAATGTATACGGATGATTGTACGATCAGGACGTTAGGAGCCATTGTTAATGACATATGTGAGAGGTTACATAGCTGATCTCCATAAGAAGGGATCATATCTCCCGAACTTTTTAACCTCCACAATTCTGATATTCGACAACCACCAGGAGGCATAGAGGTCTTAATGTATACGATGATTGTACGATATGAGAGATGATCTCGTGAATTTCTTCCATCTACAGCCTCATGGCTCACCACATGGACGGCTGAAATGAAGCTCCCGCTGAACATAATGGTTGATGGAGAACTGATTTTGACCAATAACTATTCCAAGATACTGGGAGTAACGTTCGACAGCCTTTTCATCTGCCCATGCAACTGCTTTATGCGATAAGCTGAAAAGTAGGAACAAGGTCCTGAAGTCGCTGGCCGGCAGAATTTGGGGCGCTGACAAAGAAACCTTGTTGACAAACAATATTGTTTTCCTTTAAGCTTTCGACAAAGTCCGAAAAAGCCGCTATATATGTATTTTTATATATTATTTTATATATAAAAATCTTTATATATCGGCAAAGTCCGAAAAAGCCGCTAGATATTTATTTTTATATATAAACATTTTATTTCTTACTAAAATTAAATTATTATTTTATTCCCGTCGCAGATTGTCTACAATTTGGGTATTGAAAAGAAGAAATTACCCAAGGTACATGGTTTTACGATAATGCTATATGCCTTCTGTACAGCGGTACTCTTCCATGCCGGTATCTTGGAGCCAAAGTGTTTGAGACCCAGCTATTACAAATTCTTGCAGGATATTTCGGGTGGAAGGTAAGTAATCCCCGCTATATTTTCCAAATGCTAATAACAACTTAATTGCATTTTGAATCTCATCTACAGATTTAATCACTTCAACATGGTACCCTTGGATGTCTTTGGACTAAATACTGCCAAACAAACCGAAGAAGTTTTGATTAGCCTTAAACTAACCGATAGATCACAATTACCTAAATTTGCCATGGCTGATTGGTAATAAACGGACAAGATAGATTCTAATCTTCTTTACTTGTAATTGTAAATAGAAATAATAACGGGTGTTTGTACAAATACAATACAAAATAAATAATTGTGATGTGAACGAGTGATGAGTGTGACACAAAGGATATACGTATATATATCAGTCGATATCCTTTGTATTTACCTAACTAACTAAATATGTATAATAGTATAGTCCTTTTTTATATATTGTATATCGATTTGTTGCTATGTTATTGCAAAGAAAGAAAAAAAAACAACGAAACATTAATTTCTTCTTCTGTAAGAAATTTTAAAAATGATTTCCATAATCCGATTATGTTTTCGTTTTAGTAAATAATGAATTTAAATAGTAAATGTTTTAACAAATGAAAATAATGTGTAATTTAAATTTGTCTCTCTAGAGTGCTATTTAAATGTGCATTATTAACAGGTTATAAATATTTAATTTATAAATAAAAATAAATAAATATATTTTTGTACTTCCAGAAAAATAAAGAGAAAAGAAAATAAATTGAAATGAAATCTCCTTTGCCTGAGAAGCTGAAAGTTCGCTGTTTTAAAACAATTAATTTTTGTTCTCAATAAATATAATCAACGAAATCATCGAAAGCGGAATTTCAAAGTTAAAATGTTGTCTTAAGCAAGTCAACACAATTGGCGTTATTACGACAGAAATCGAGAAAAATGTTTAAAAATATCGCCTAAAACTATGCAATACAGATTCGTATTTTAAAAATTCAGATCATAACGCATGCCATCACTGTCATAATTTGTTCGAGGTTTTTGTTGAAAAATATTCGAATGAACGAAACTTTGTACCCAGGCTGCATTATACTTATTTTATGAGTTCCGTTTTTACCCCCATCATTACTTCAGCTCTGGTTTTGCACAAACGATACAATGTATTTATTAGAATGAAATCACGTTTTAATAGTAAATCATTTAGTGTTCACGTTTTTGATATCAATTGCATGACTAACATATGTATTTAAATATACATATGTATATAGGAATGTTTATACATTTTTAAAATAATTAACAAGTTGACTTGTTGTGCAAATTACATCAATTGATACAACAATACAATAAATATTTTACAAGCTTCAACCTTGTTTTTACCATTGGCCCATTTTATATACTTTGTATGCACAAAATAATACAAACAAAAGTAGTGAGCCTCGATCTGAACTTCATTGTCATTTTTCTTGAAAATATTTTTCATGGGCCATACAAAGCATGGATTTTTTGGAGATTATTTTTTAAGGCTACAACAAGGGTCGAATTTGTATACCCTTCACCAGACTGTGGTACAGGGTATTATGTCTTTGTGCATATGTTTGTAACAGGAAAAAGGAAACGATATAGACACATAGTTACTTTTGAGAATATGCATAGAATCACTTTTTAGTCGATTTATGCATGTTCATCCGTCCGTCTGACCATGTTAAATTGTAAACAAAGTACAGGTCGCATTTTTAATTCGAATTGGATGAAATTTGGCACAGCTCATTTATTTGGCTCAAGGACGACCCTATAGAAATTGGGAAAATCGGTTCAGATTTAGATATAGCTTCCATATATATTTTCGTCCAATTTTAGGAAAATTGTGCTTCAAAGTCCCCTTCGATTTGCACGAAATTTGGCATAGCGTACTGAATAAGGTCAAGAATTATGTGTGCTAACTTTCGTGAGAGTCGGTTCAGATTTAGATATAGCTCCCATATATATTTTCGACCGATTTAATGTAAATGTTGCACAAAAGTCCCTATATATTTTTCGATTTGCAAAAAATTTGGTATAGGATACTGAATTAAGTCTAGAATGATGTGTGTTAAATTTCGTGAAAATCCGATCAGATTTAGATATAGCTCCCACATATATTTTCATCCGATTTAAGGTAATTGGTGTACCATAGTCCCTTTATATATCTTTCGATTTGCACGAAATTTGGCACAACGTAAGGAATTAGGTTTAGAATGATGTGTTTTAAGTATCCTGAAAATCGGTTCAGATTTAGATATAGCTCCCATATATATTTTCGTCCGATTTAATGTAAATGGTGCACCAAAGTTTTTTTCGATTTGCACGAAATTTGGCATAGTGTACTGAATTAGGTCTAGAATGATGTGTGTTAGGTTTCCTGAAAATCGGTTTAGATTTAGATATAGCTTCTATATCTGACCAAATGAAAAACTTAGTATCAGTTGCAGAACGACATGTTTTTGGATCCAATTTCATTTTACTGGTCCTTTAAAAATGCGACGTCTGTTAGGATTCATCTGTTGAATATACCCAAAGTGGTGAAGGGTATCATATAGTCGGCCCTGACCGACTTGACTACTTTCCTTACTGGTTTAACACGTTAACTGCCGGGTCACCCGTATTCGGGTGACCGCAAAAGTTCTCATCAGGCCACGTCACCCGTATTTGGATGACAGCAAGAGTTCTCATGAGGCCATGTCGGGTGACTCCTTCCAAAGGTTTTCCGAACATATTTAGATAAATATATGACAGGAGATAATAATACTGTTGAATTTTTCTAAAAATCGTTTATTAACAAAATTATTTACAGTGCAAAATATTGAAGCATTCACTGCAAAGTTGCGGTTGACCAGGGCAGCTTGGACAGAAAGTTGTGGGTTTTCTCAGATTTGCTCGTGCCTTTGATCGTTTCAGTTCTTCTCTTTTATTTGCGTAACACCGCTTGCATACGCGTCTAAGGCTTTTCCCCAAATTATTTCTGCGAACTGCGTAACTGAGCACGCATCTTACAGTGGCTCGGGTGGCCTGACGGGGATTTTGTTGCAAACACGCGTGGCAGTCAACGTGTTAAATTATATTTTTTCCAAAGGTCCACAAGGCATGGATTTTTTAAATAATATTTTTTCAATAGGTCCACCTTTAATTTTCCACTATCAAACCAAAAACCCACCTATTGTACACATTGACACACATAATAATAGTTCGTGTTTGTGTCACTCCATAAGATAAACTTCAAATCCGATTCATACATTGTGGTAGACATGTCATAGCATAAAGAGATATTTTTTTTGTCATTTTCAAAACCCAAGTGTGGTGTAAGTCGTCCACACAATTATATATTACACACACTCACGCTCGTTTAGTAAATTATGGCTTATTTGAATTTCTAATTAGGTGCAATCTGCCAAATCATCGGGTATTAGAGAAGAGAGTGAGTGGATAACAGTTGGAACGATTAACCTTCGCATTGGAACTATTTTTGAAAAAAAAAACAAAAATAAATAACCGGTCCACAAATGTGAAGCAGCAGCATAGCTATGATAAATAAACAAATATGCCGGTATGGAATATTGTTGTTGTTATTGTTTTTTTGCTTCTGATTTTATTATTTGATTAGTAATTTAAAAATTTACACTGCAGTGCTGCCACTGAGAGCTCCATCCAACCAGCCAACCATAGTTAACATTGGTCAGTCAGGTTTCCAACAAAGACTGAATTTTTTATTTATTTTCGAAGAGAGCTTTGTCCGCTTGCCGTTTTTTATTTTAACTTGGCAATAGCAAATCAATTAACAAATACAAAACGAACAACAACAATATCGTACAACAAAAACGAAAAATTCCCCCCACCAAAAACAACAACATTTATTTTCATTGAAAGTCCAAGGCATTTCATTTGAAAGCAAATAAGTCAGTTGTTTATTTGATCTGGTGGCGTCCACTGCATGCATCGTGTGTTGGTCCCTGCTGCAATGTTAAAATTCTCAAAAGATTCTCTGGATGTGTTGATAAAATATGGAGTACCCATTACGGCATTTCTTTCGTATATTTCGAAAATTCTATTAATGATCGTCATCGCCATTCTAATGATTTTGAATGAATTCGTCAAAGAGTTTGTGAATTTTGTTACACGAAAATTGGGCATCGAACGTTCGTGTGGTGCCGGAGGCGTCAATGGAGATTCAACGTTTAGTGAATGGCATATACGTTCCGATATGGCTACACTGAGAAGACCGGGTCAATGAAAATCCCGGCAAAGGGAAGAGGCATCGTTGATATGCGTGGATAGCCATTTGGTGATAATTTTGCAGAAAAGAAGAAAAATATTCTGCCATAACTTTTCTTTGTTTGGAAAGTAATTGGATGCGGCTGTTTTTGCTGCTGCAGTAACTGATGGAATCACGCCATATATGAAGGCAGCAAGGAGTGGCAATCCGACATGCAGAACAAAGCAGAAAATACTGAGACTGATATACAGTAATAAATGTGAATTTTATGTGCTTGTAATGTAGAGAAATTTATGTATTTATTGAAATAAAAATATGTGTTAAGTGTAAAGAATGAACATGTTATTGTTGTTTTTCTGTTGTTATTTTTAAATACAATAATGGAAAATAACTGAAACAAAGAAATAAATAAATAGTACACCAACGTAAAAAAGAAGTCTTTGAAATTAAATACCCATGTGAATAAATTAACAAAGTAACTGGCAACATTCCGCACCACACACATATGTAGATGTGTATGGAAATGATCCATAAAAGTAAAAAATTAAACAGAAACTATTTAAACTTAGATCAAGTCGAAATTTTGATGCCCTTCACCGTTATTTTAACTAATAACACAACTATAAATGTGGACAAGGCCTGGAATTTTTTTAAAAAATAATTTTTTAAGGACAAGACAAGGCGTGAATTTAAAAAAATATATATATTTTTTTAAGATTCAGCATGGCGCGGATTTTTAAAAAAATATTTTTTTAAGAATCAGCAAGGCGCGGATTTTTAAAAAAATATTTTTTTAAGAATCAGCAAGGCGCGGATTTTTAAAAAAAATATTTTTTTTAAGAATCAGCAATGCGCGGATTTTTAAAAAAATATTTTTTTAAGAATCAGCAAGGCGCGGATTTTTAAAATAATTTTTTTCCAACAACTAAGAAGGTGTAGATTAAAAAAAACAACAACTATTTTTTAAAAACTAGCAACTGGATTTTTAAAGAAGTATTTTTTCAAGG